CATATTTTGGAGGTGTCTCAAGCGGAATGGAAAAAATGCTTTGACAAGTGGTTCGAACGCATGCAAAAGTATATAGATCATAAAGGAGAATATTTTGAAAAACAATAAATGACAAATTATTGTTTTTTTATTATTATTTTTATTATTAGGCTCAAAATATAAATAGTGACCCTCGTAGTATATAGTAATACATTGACAATATTTGGCAATATTGCACGCAATAGGTGGCAATACATAGGATAACAATATTAACAATACAATAGCAATGTTAGCGATAAAGTGTGTTGTATTGCCATGATTAGCAATCACCGTACTTTAGTGTACATTTTTTTAGCGGTGATTGACCCCCTTAGAGTTTGGTAATAGCTATTAAATATATGGTGAAATAATGCCAATCAAATGTTTGGTTAATATAACCAAAAATAATGTTACTTTTTGTTACGTCCTGAGTCGCGTGTTCAGTTTTAAAGCGGTCTCGAGGCGTTACATAAAATCGTGGGAGCGAGAGCGCGGAGCGGGGCGCGCGGGGCGAAGCCTTGACTTCAGGTGAGATTCGTTTTTCGGCGTGTGTTTACGCGTTGAGGCAGGCTGCTGTCACCAGTACCTTTGTAAAGGCACGAATTGAATTATTATTTTGCTCGCGAGATATCTCTTATTATATCTAACTCAATTTAAGCTTCCGTATTATGCACAGGAAGAAATTAAAACAGAGAGTTTAAAGGAATTGTCAGATAAAGCGCCCGTAGTACACGAAGGTGTACGAGGAATTAATGAAGATATAAAGATCTCTTTCCTGTGGGCAGCTGTGATGTTTTCATCACTCACTTCGCTCTATCCACGCTCTCTGCTTCCTGTGCGGGAAAGGGAGCAGGGAAGAATAATAAAGGGCCTTGAGAGCAAAGAAAAAAAATGAATGATAAGGGTAACTATTTATATTTATTTTACACGGAGTGTTACTAGTAACGCGAGGTTTGCTGGAGGTCAGCACTGGCCTCGTAGGCTTGCGGACGGGCGCGATGTAAGATGGGGATCGCGGTAGCGCAGGTCGCGGCGGAGGTAGCGCGGGTGTTTCGGATTCTTGGGTTCTGGGCCTGTCCGGAGTGACGCCGGTTGCCGCGGTATGCGCCGGAGGATTTGTTGATTCGGTTGTGACCTCCTCGGGGCTCGAGCTATGTTCCTTCCAATAAACGGAGGGGTCAAAGGTTACCTCCGAGAGGAGCGCCCGCTGTAGCTCCTTGTGGACGCGCCGACCTCCACGTTTACCTCGCGGTCGCTTCCTCTGCAGCATCTACGGGCGGCAGAAACGTACAGTGTAAAGAGGCGATAGAGGGGAGGGAGTGCGGAGGCCTCGACGCCGTGGAAGGTGCTCGTTTGAGCTCCGCAGGAGGCGAGCTTCGTCGTCGCTTTGGGTCAGCGCCGTCGGAGCTGGGGAAGGGAGTAGTCCTTCAGACGCTGTGAAGGCGCACGAACGGGGCTGGATTTTCTAGGAGATGCGGAAAGTTCCGGAGCGCTAGTTAAAGCGCTGGGAAGACTTACCGTTGGTTTTATTGATGGGAAGAGTTGTGAGGAGAGAAATAAGGACGCGTGTTTTAAAACGTTCTGCTTTATATACTTTTTGCTTCGTGGCCCCTCGCGGTAAGGGGATGTTTTCGTCCACGTGCTATTGCGAAATTCTCTGGAGTGTGCCGATCTTCTAATTAGTAATTTACTTCGTTGTTGATTAGATTTTCTTTAATTAGAACGCGTTGTCTTGTTGCGGGGGTCGCGATACCCTTATGGTTTGCTCGGCTGCCGCGTGCTGCAATCCAGCACGACGGAGCTTGCATATTCCTTATGTGCGTTTTTTCATTATAAGGTTTGGTATAGCCTAGCTGTTTTTCGTTCGTCGTGCGCGTGGGATTCTAATGTTTGTTTAGGGCCTTCTTTCGTTTGTGCGTGCTCCAATTCGAGTTATAATAATTTTATTCGTATTCTGGGGCCCTTTATGGCCGGTGGTTGCATTCAGGGTTGCACGGCAATGCATTGCGTTGGCGTTATGCGTTTTTATTGGTTTTCCGCAGGTCTGCGGTTTTTCCTTGCAGCTCCGTCGAAGTCGGTTGTTATATTAGTTATTCCCTATCCCGTGTTAACGGTGTTTTCGTGCTAAAGTGCATTCTTGCATCGTTTTTAGTTTATAATTTGGCGCAGGCGCAGTATGCGCGGCGTTCAATCGCGACGGTTTCGGTAGCTTGGCCTATAGCCGTACGCGATTGTAGTAGGTACGTATTATGTCTGTTCGCTATATTCCGTGCTCGCGCTCGCTTGGTAAGAGAACGGGGCACTACATTGTAGGCGCACCGGACGTTACACTTTTATAAATATTTAATAAGTATTATTAAATCGTGACTATTTGGTAATAATTTAACATTATTTTTTGTTGTATTAAACAAATATTTGATTGGCATTTGTTCTAATAAAATGTTTCATGTACCAAGGTATGTAAATATGAAACTGGAATTTACCAATAGATGACCATAGCTGTCAATGTAGTTGTCGTCAGACCGCGTCATTGACGTCATTTCCTTGTTCTGACATCTGACAAAAAGATTTTCAATTCACAACAATACAAGTTTCGTACAACAGTATAGTTTGTAATAGCGTTGAACATGTCGAATTTTGTGCCTGGAAACTACGATTTGCGGACAGCATTGATTTTCTATTACCATTTGAAGAAAACTGCTGCAGAATCGCATCGAATGCTTGTCGAAGCTTACGGTGAGCATGCTCTTGGTAAATCACAGTACTTTGAGTGGTTTAAAAAATTCAAAAGTGGCGATTTTGACGTGAGAAACGAAGAACGTGGAAAACCACCGAAAAAGTTTGAAGACAGCGAATTGCAAGCATTGTTGGATGAGGATGGCGCTCAAACTCAACAACAACTCGCAGATCAATTGAATGTGACACGAGAAGCCGTATCCATACGTTTGAAATCCATGGGAAAGATCCAGAAGATGGAAACATGGGCTCCACATGAACTGAATGAAAGATAGCAGGAAAACCGAAAAACCACTTGCGAAATGCTGCTCGCAAGGTACAAAAGAAAGTCATTTCTCCATCGAATTGTGACTGG